GCGCCGATGACGCGCGGCCCTAGCGACGCCGGTCACCAGGGAGCGGCCGCGCTGCACGGTGGCATGGACGCGACCACCGCCCCGCACCGCATCCCCCCGGAAATGCCCCAGTATGGGGAGGCGAACCACGTCTTCGAGATGATGCAGGTGACCCGGGCAGCCCTGTCCTGTCGCGACACAAGGCGGCGGCCGGGGAACCGCTTGTCGCGGTCCGGGTGCGCGCCGGTGACCCCGCATCAGGGAGGGATCACGTTTGTTACCCAGGAGGCCGCCCAAATTGGGGTGTACGACTTCCGTACCGTCGTACCTCAAGGGACCCCTCAATCAGAAGATGCCCCCTGACGCTATCCCGCGGAACCTGGTGGGAGGCCAGGATTTGGTTTGGGCTCCTGGCCAGTCCGCTCCACGGTCTGGTCCCTTCCTTTTCTCAGTTCCCCAATCTGTGAAATGCCAGGTTGCAAGAGGTGGTCTCCAAGGGACTTGTCTAACCCTAACAATTCCCACGCTGTCTGCGGTGTTGGTTTCTCAGCTGGGGAGCGTCTGAGTTGGAGGTGGCATCCCCATCCAATGAGAGGGCGGCCTCCTGAAACAGCAGCCCTGTGGTTTGGACAGCAGCATTTCCCATCTGGCCCTTCCTCCTCGGCCAAGAGTTCAGGGCAGCGTCCAAGCCCTCATCCTGAGTTCCTGACCTTAGGCAAAACCCCACCCTTGCTTGTGCTCCAGATGTCCCCTGGGCATCTCGGGGAAGTAAAGGCTTTCAGGAGCCTGACTGGAAGACCTCTCAGCCATTCAGAGGTTCTGAGGGCCAAAGGGGAGCTGGAGCATTTGTTTGCTCCTCCAGATGTATCCCATCCCCAGAGGCACCTCCTTAGTGATACCTGTGGCCACTTGAGCCTCTGACCTGCACATGTGAGAGGAGAGCTCAGACTCAGAAACCTGCGTCTCCATCCTCCCAGCGAATGTACGCTTCTTTGGAAAGCGTTAACTTTCCACCATCTCTCACACCATCTCTCCAGTGAAATATGACTGATGAAGGATCTTGTCCAGTGGTTTTATTTAGTGGGTGGGCCAGCAAAGGCCCCGAGAAGGGAAGGGACTGGCTGGTGAGATGCACAGTGGGGCCACGACCTCATAGTTCAGCGCTGTTTTTACTGCCCCACTCTTTCCTTGCCCCCAAAGGGTTAAAGCCCCTCCCTGCTTGTCTGTGGTGCTGAAGGATGCTCCTTAGTGCCCCAGCCCAACTCCTCTCAGCTGCCTGGTTCATTTCTGTGCCTTTTGCTTGGAACCATGGAAGCTGCTTTTCCTTGGAATTAAATGGCCAGGCTACCCCAGGACTACTTAGGTATTTAGCTGGTGAATATTCTGTCCCACTCTGGCGAAACACAGGGAGCAGTGACAGCTGTGTCCCCAAGCCCATGTATGCTGGGCACCCACTGTGATTGTGCCAGGCGCTGGGACAAGGGTGAAGCAATACTAGGGGTGCACGGGGACTGCAGGAGCACATGACAAGGTTCAGCTGGTGAGTGTGATCAGGAAGGGATGTTTCCTTTGAGGCCTGAGGGAAAGGTGTTCCAGGCTGAGGGCACAGCATTTGCTAGGGCTCTTGAGGGGGTGAATGGGCACAATGCAGGAGAAGGACCTCCAGCTCCGCCTCCCCCCAGTTGCCTCCCTCCCCAGCAATACCCTCATGCCTCTGCTTGCAGGAACCCAAGCAAATGCCAGCTAGGGTAGGGCACAGGGGAGAGATCAGGCCGCGGGGCTGGTATCCGTAGCGAACCAGGGTGCTGGGCCACCTGAGCCTGGGGCCCTGGGTGTCCATGTAGGTGTTAACCATATGGGTGTCTGCCCTCTGCCCACAGAACATGCTGGAGCAGCTCCTGATCCACCAGCCCAAGGACCCCATCCCGTTCATGATTAATCACTTGCAACGAAACAACGATTATGGTGAGCATTCGAGTGGCCCTCCTCCCCCTCCCCAGCTGTCTCCCTCCCCTCCTCCCAGGAATCTGTGAGGCCCTCTGTCCTTCTGTATCTAAAAGGAGGTCAGAACTGGCTGGGGAATGATTTGACAACTTGGGGAGGTGGGTGATTGAAAAATGCCTTAATTTCTTTCAGAGCACAACTAATAAAAATTCTCTTGCCAAGTTATTAAAATGAAAACCTCCGAATGGCCCACGGAATCAATTATTCATGCTTTGGCATGCCCCAGCTGATGTCGCCTGTTGGGTTTAAGCTCTGTGATCACTCCACTTGTCAGGTGTAAGTGTGGTTTCTGGTCTACCTAGACAGACAGCACCGGTTTTCCTGATGGTCTCATTATTGGCGCCCGTTAATGAGTTCCAGAGCTCCCCCAGCCTCACCCGGGCGGGCGCGAGTTGGACCCAAGGCCGGAACGCCGAGCGGGGAGGAGGGAGAGGAGGCGCTCCATCCCATGGTCGATTTGCCAAGTGGAGGATCGTTGCCATCCTGTGCGAGCTGTCAGGGAGACCGGTGTCCTGGAGCTTTGATGTTTCTTTCATTGGTGCATTAGCCGCTTTGAAGGAGCTACCAGCGCACCAGTGAAATGAGCGCGCAGTGCCACTGAGAAGGACGGAGGCCTGAGATGCCCCGTGGTGGGGTTCAGAGGCCTAAGATGAGAAAGATTGCTAAGTAGTTAAAAAAAAAAATGGTCAGAGGGAGGAGACTCCAAGCCTGCAGGTTTGCCAGGCACACCTGGCCTCTGCAGCGTGGCCGGCCCACAGGTCCTGAGCAGGGTCAGCGGGTCAGAGCGAGGGGCTGTTTCACAGACCTAGGCAGGGTGGTTCAGCGTGGCTCACAGGGTCCCCGCAGTGCCCTATTCTGAGCCTCTAGTGAGGCAGAGTGGAGAACTGACATTGACTGTGAGCCTGGGTGCCCCAGGTAGCGATCAGCTGGGATGATGGGGGTGGGGGGATCCACTTCACCCCACAGAGACTCTTCTTTTTTTTTTTAAATTATTGTTTTTAGTAAAAAAAAATTTTTAAATGGAGGTACTGGGGATTGAACCCAGGACCTTGTGCATGCTAAGCACGCACTCCACCACTGAGCTAGGTCTGTCCCTCCCCCACCCCTTTTTTTATGAAGGCAGAATGCCTGAGTTCTTTATTTTTTACATTTAATTTTCTTCCTTCCTCCTTTCCTCCCTTCTTTCCTTCCTCCCTTCCTTCCTTCCTTCCTTCCTTTCTTTGTAGTCCTTATTCTCTGGTTCTCTGGTTGGGGCGAGATGGAGGCTCACCTGCTCCGCAGGGTGAGAAGCCACCTTGCTTCCTGGTGGTCCTGCTGCAGACCTCAGCTCCCTGCCCAGGCCTCACCCAGTGGCCCCACAGGCCGGAGGAAGCCGATTCTGCAGTCCCTACCCCTACCCCGAGGCCGTTTGGGTCTCCGTGTGGCTGAGCTCTGTTACTCCAGGGCTGCTGGGAGCATTTCTGCCGCCGTTCCCCTCTCACAGCCACTACCAAATCAATAAAGCAAAGTCAAAGTAACGTAAAAGTGAGAGGCAAAATAAAGGTAAAATAAAAGTGAAGTGGAACTCAAAGAGCAAAGCAAAGGCAGGAGAGCAGGAAGGTGCGTTCAGGGAGGCGTCCCCTCCCAGCCCAGCAGCCCTCAGCGCAGCGGGCTCCGTTCTCCTGGTAAAGTGTGAAGAAACGGAGAGATCATTGCTGTCTCTCGGCCTCAGTTTTTTCATTTGTAAAATGGGCAGATTTGGTAGCTGAGGTGCGGGTGGTGATGCCCTGGCCTGGTCCCTGGCGAGTAGGGAAGAGGTGGCCAGGTCCCAGTGCTCCCGCAGGGCTCCAGGCGGTGCCGAGGCGAGCTGCCGCTTGTGGAAAGCCTAACGAGAGTTTCCTGAACTAGAGCAGTGCTTGACAGTAATGTAGCCGGGCGAGCCCTGAGTGGGTGGTGGTGGCGCTTCCTGCTGCTTTTTTCTCTTTTTTTCCTTCTTTTTAATTTCTTGTTTGGCACTTCACACTTCCAGTTTGAAAAATTCTGTTTAAGGGTGCATGTGGGGTCTTAAACTGCGAACCTCAAAGCTTAGCTGGTCTCTCCTGGAATAGCAAGAGCCTGAAATTGGAGTCAGTCTCTGCCTTAACATTTTATCCCTGCTCCTCTGTGTGCCGATGGAGTTTTCCCTGTCAGACGGCCCACTGCACCCGAAGTTTTACGTTCCAACGTCATGTCTTTGTTTTAGACGCAAGGCAGCCGACGTTAGCTGGACGGTCATCTTGGGCGCCTCCTCCTTGCCCCTTTCACCACCTCCTTCCGCCCTCCTCAGCACCCCTTTCCAGTCATTCCTGGGCCTGGCTTTCCAAGGCTGCCCTCCATGGAGCCCTTTCTCCTTTGTCCACATTCCTCCTGCTCTGTTGCCCTCTAGCAGCTTAAGAATTCAGCCCCTCTTTGTTAGCTCGAGCTGGGGGCCGGCCTCCCATCTGTCCTCCCCCGTAGCTGGAGTCAAGGCTTCTGGCCAGACCCTCTCTCGGGCATTCGAGTCATTGAATCCCAGTGCCCACTGTTGTGAGGGGTTGATTTGTTCCCCCAGCCTCCCACCCCCATCCCCAGGCGTGGGGTTGCCAGCTCTGGAGGATGCTGGCTCCTCTTTGCCCTTTGGCTCAAGTCCCAGCCCAGAGAGGGGACGTCTCTGGGTTTCCCTCCTGCGCCCAGTCCTCCACCTATAAGTGAGGCAAAAACCTGGGAGAGGGAGTGGAGAAGACCATGCTCCTGGGATTTCTCTAGGAGTCGGGAAAGCTAGAAAGAGTGTATCCCAACCTTGGTGGTTGGAGAAGAGGACAGGAGAGGTCTCCTGGCACCCAGCAAGCACTTCTGCTGCCCCTCCCTCCCGTGTGCAGTGGCCTGTGTTAACTGAAGCCGGGTTCTCCACCCCCTGCTCACAGGGCATGGGTGTCGGGTGGGTCGGGGTTCGCTGGGATACGCGGTGGCAGGGCCGGCGGCTAGTGCAGAGGGAGCGAAGGCTCTGGGCCCCTCCCTGTAAGTGTGCACGGGAGGGAATGAGCCACCAGCACACGGGCTGGCAGCCCCTTCGCTGCGAAAAAAGCAGATTTAGTACAAAGCGAGCGTTTACAGTAGCCCTGGGCAATATTAAAGCAGGCGATGGTGTATATAATGGTATGTTTCGTTTTTTATCAAACGTTTGTCCAAGAAAGCTGTGTATTAGAGTTCCAATACCTAAGGGTTTTCTTGTGAATTTTAAATCATGCTCCTAGTTAAACCTCAAAAGGATCTGTGGATGGAAAGGTTTTTTGATTTCCTTTGAAGTGTGTTGAAGAAGTTGATTACTCTTGGCAGTCAAGCAGCCTTTTATGACACTGTTTATAAATAATTACTCATGAGCAGGGCTGGAATTTCAAGGTGTTAGATTTTAAGAAACTGAAATTAATCACAGAAATGTGTGCAAGAAATTAGGTGGGGAGAAAGGCCGAGGATGTTCCCCTTTTAAAGTGTTTTCCTAGATGTGTACAATTTGGGTGCCACTCACAGGAGCCTGGGAGGGGAGGGTTTCCCCGGCAGCCTCGGCGCCTCATCACTTTGTCAAAATGAACGTGTGATTTGGGAGTCAACTCATTTCCCCAAATGCTCTTGTCCCGGTGCCTCTCGCTTCTCAGTCCTGCAGGCCCTGAGCCCTGCTGGCTCTGGCCCAAGTTCTAGGGAGCTTCAGTGGAGGCCTGTGCTTAGAGCCCTGGGTAGGCAGCAGGGGTGATGGGCGTCACGCAGCACGCCTCTCCCGCCTTGACCTCCCTCCTTGCTGCTCTAACGCTGCCCCTCCCCTAAACCTTCCATGGCACCCCAGCTCCACCCTCCGACCAGGTGTCCCCAAAGCCACCTCATTTCCAGACTCATCCTATAAGCAGTATTTTCTACCTGCTGTGGCTTCTCTCGTCTGGGTTGGAGGGCCTGGAAGGCCCTGCCCAGCTTACAAGGCCAGAGCGGGGAGTGGGCTGCCCTGGCTCCCACCCCAGAAGCTGAAAATGCCTCGTCCTCCCTGGGCCTCTGTCCTGAGCTTCAATGGTCATTTGAGCCCAGACTCTGGACAAGGTCTGGGAGGCACCTGCAGAGCCTGGCTCCTGGGTGGCAGTGGCTGTGTGGCTGGTGGGGCAGCCCCATGACCCACCGATGTGAACAGCATTCCGGGCACAGGCTGCAGTGTCTGGTGCCCGGGACAGCAGTGCTGGTTCCCCCACACCACTTGGTGGCCTCGCTTGGGGCACTGTTCCTGGCAGGGGTGCCCGGGCCCGGCTCCTGCCTGTGCAGGATTCTCTGCACCACACTGGCCTTTGAATAACCCCTTTCTCTCCTCGACTCAGCCACATCTGGTTCCTGCAGCTTACACCCAAGAATGCCAACTGGCAGGAGGTGCCTTTGTAAGGAGGTAGTAATGGTAGTGACAAAGGTGACCAAACACCCAGTGGCCGCAGAGAGGGAGACAGCCGAGGAGGAGGCGGCTGCCGCAGGTCCTGCTCTGTGCACGGCTCCTCGCAGTTCTGGCTGCAGAAAAGGAAGATGAGACTTGTCCCTGCCCCCAGGGAGCCTGTGGGGACAGCGGTGCCCCACTCAGCTGCTCAGCAGGGGGACAGAACTCACCAAGGCGGCAGCAGCAGGCCGCTTAATCAGGAGTGGGAGCAAGAATCCTTGCTGGGATGGGGGGCGCTGGGTGGGTGGGGGGAGGAAGACATTCCTGATGGGGGGAATGACAAGTGACGAGGCAGGAACGTGGGGAGAACGTCGTCAGGAAGAACGAGGAGGTCCAGGACCCAGGCAGAGGGTTGCTCAGGGCTCCCGGGCGAGGCGAGGCTGTATGGATTCTCAGGACACACCCCAGCCTTCTGCTGAGGTCGGGTCCCTCCGGTCCAAAAGGACTCACAGGATCACGAGCCACTTGGCCAGGAGACTCCTGGAAGCTGAGTCCACTGTACTGAGGAGGGCAGGAAGCATGCCAGCCAAGCAAGACTTGGAGAGAAAAGTATGTGCTGGGGTCTGCCAAGCTGGAACCAGCAGCGTGAAGGTGCGCCTGGTGCCGCCTCGACCAGGACCCTCCTGCCCCATACCCCCGATTCACCTCAGCACCCCCAGGAAAGGCTTTGGGCTTCCAAGACACAAGGTACCTACATTTCACATCAGTGGGCGATGGACTAGCTTTACAAACGTATAGAAACACGGGCAGTGATGGTGTTGTAAAGCGGTCCACGGGGGACACGTAAAAACCCAGTAGCAGCGGAAAGCCGGGATGAGCATCTGACACGGGTCATGTTCTGGAGGAGAGAGCAGTTCCCTCGTGGAGTCTGGAGCCGAGGACAGCCCTCCCTGCCAGTGCTCATCCAATGCCATGACCTCACTGACCTGGCCGGGGGGCTGCGGTCCATCTTGCTTTTCTCGGCAGCATTCAGCCCAGTGCTGAGCTCGGAGGAGGCGCTCAGTGAGTATTTGTGGAATCAGTGAATTATCTTGAACCAACCTTCCATGTTTTCCCTGAAGATGAGAAGGTGCTGTGAATGTGGGCAAAAGTCCATTTAAAAACCCAAGCAGCTTGTCTGGGCATAGGTGTGCTGATCATTAAATTGTGGGCCAAACGGACACTCTTGCTCCTACTCCCTGTCCCCAAACTAGAAGACCTTCTGTGGACGAGGCTCCCCCTTGCCCCGGCAGCCAGACAGGAGCGGCCGCATGTGGAGTTCAGAGGCCCAAGTGAGCTGGAGCGCGCCTCTGTTCATCCGCGCCCTGGGTGGGGGCCGGGCCGGCGGGCAGTGGTAGAGGGCTGGCTCCGCCACCTCTGTGCTGTCTGTGCTGGGCCCCTCGCCCCCCACAGTTAGGGGAAGGGGTGACCTAGTCAAGGTGACCCTCAGGGAGGAGCCAGCATGGATTCGCCTGTCCAGACACCACATTCTGCTTCCTAAGATTTGACCCAAGCGCACGCCTTCCAGCGCTCTTCTTAAGATGCTGGTTTTTTCTTTTCCTGTGGCCAGCACCTACTTAATAGTCTGCTGGTGGCTTTAGGAATTCTGCAGCCAAGACCCTTCCCGAGCCAGGAGTCTCGCACCAAAGCCAAACCCAGCTGTTTCCATCTGCATAGAAATGCCCCATTTGGAAACAGACTTTTCCATCTGGGGTTTTATAAATCTGCCCTGGGCACTCCAGGCTTTCCCCCATTATTTCCCTCTGTAAAATGATGGGGAATACAATTTGCTAAATAAAAAGGCATAAATACTTAAAAAAAAATTTGAAGGTCGATTTACATAAAATACAACTTTATTTGAAAGCATGTCCCTGAGACAGAGTCCCTGTTTAAAATGCTTTATGGTGTTTGAAATGCCAATTGTTCTTGATATTTATCAGTTTGGCAAACAATTTACCATGTCCATGTCCCCTTGGAGACAGAAAAGTAAACCATCTCAGTGATCACTTACCTCTCTAAACACAGAGAGTATGTTCTATGGCGAGAGCATCTTGGAGCCGGTGGGTTGCAAACGACCGCGTCACTCCCAGAAAATGAAATCCGGGGGAAAGAAGTAAATGCACCCAGAGCCCCGCAGGCGTGGGAGGTTGCTCTGTCATGCCGAACGGTGACATTCAAATCTCTTTATCCCACAGTGCCGAAGATCGTAATATTAGGTCCACCCGCCTCGGGGAAAACCACTATAGTAAGTGTATCATATTAAGTGTTGAAATACGGTAATGCCTCATTTATCCTGCAGAGCTGGAATGAGACTGCACCTCAGTGAATTTTCAGTGGAACTGAGCTCTTCATCTTTTCTTTCTCCACCTTAACTTACTTTCTTATTACAAGAGGCAACATGTGTTCATCATAGAAAACCTGCAGAACACAAAACCCAAAAGTACAGGTCCCCAGCCATCCAGAGAGAAGCATTCTTTTACCATTTGGGGTAAACCTTCTAGGCTTTTCTCGTGGCTACATGCACCCTGACCCTGCACACCCTTTGTGTCCTCAGGACCTGTCTGTAGAAGTAGAGGCTCTGAGTCAGACAACAGACACGTTCCAAAGGCTTCTGATATGGACTCTGCAGATTCGCTCATAACATTTCCATTATGAAATGTTTCAGCCCATCAGAAAAGCCAAGAACCTACACCGTAGATACTCGTGTGCCCAACTCCCAGGTTTTACAGGAATTTATCATTGGGCCATGTTTGCTTTGGTGATTTCCTCTCCGTTTCAAAGACAGCACAGCTTTAAAGATGCAGCGGACACCTCGTCCCCCTTCACTCACTCTGGTCTCTCTCCTTGGAGGTGACCCCCGTCCTGAAGCCGGTGGGCTTCATCCCTGTAGGGTTTTCATCTTTAAGCTCCTTTTTTTTAAGTGCCAAAAGCTTGTTCAGATTATAATCGTCTGAGATGAACTCTGTCTTTTAAAAGCCAGGTTAGAGAGCATCAGCTAACACTAGTGAGCCCTTCCTTGATGACGGTGTCATCGCTGTGAGCCCTCCTTCTGGGCCCCAATGAGCTGGCACCTGGCTTTATTCTGAGAAGGAATTAAGATGGCCGGTCCTGACACCAGACTGCCTGCATCTGCCGTGCTTTTGGAGCTAGTATTGCCAGCTGTTCCATTTACCTGTCACCTGTCTGTCCATCCACTCATCCCTCTGTCCATCTGTCTGTCTGTCTATTGCTCTGTAGTTTTTCGACTTTGTTCTCTGGGATCAGGTGGCCCCCGACCCCTGCAAGCCACCCGCCCTGGCGTTGTTTCAGTGTTAGAGCCCAGGGGCTCCCGGGCCTGGCGGTCACGAGGACTAGCTGCTGTTTTGGCTGCAAGCCTTTTGGTGACTTCGCTGTCCCTCCCCTGTCTGCTGTGTGGCAAACACAGGCTCTAATCTTACAACATGATGATCTACAGTGAAATCCACACAGCGAGCGCTCACGGGCTCTGTCCTGTATTGTTGCTGACATCCCCCAGCCCGAGGAGCAGGGAGAATTCAGGTTCATACCTGCCCCAGGGGACCTTCAGGGCCTTCTGAAGCAACTCTATGCTGAAACGGTCATCACTATAATCTTGGTATTAAGAACATTTTATTGCACGATTGTTCCTCAAAATGTGTTCTTCCCTGGTAGAGGGTAGCTAGTGGCCGTCAGTGAACTATAAACGCTCACTCGGCCGGGATGTGTCCTCTCCCAGTCTTCAGGAAAAGATGGACATTGAGTTTGCGTTGTGACCCAAGGTCGGGTCTGGTCCCCGTGTTTCTTGCTTTAAACCTTTCTTGAGTTAAAAACTCATGGTCCACAGAGCTTGAAAAGGCTTGCCGAGGGCAGTGAAGTGCAGGTTTTCCAGGCGCACTTAGAGTCAGTGGCTGGTTGAGGAGGAGAAGGCAGACAGGCAGAGTCCTGAGGCCGGGAGGGGCCCTGTGGGTTTGTCTCCCTTGGTGCCTCTTTCCAGCCAGAAACAACCGTGCTTCCCTATGGTCCCTGCTTCCTTGTAGAATTTGAAAGGCCCTGGGCATTTTAATGGAGAGCTCTTAATTACCGCTTTCACTGAAATGTTCTTTTCCTCTCTCCTTTCTTCAGGCCATGTGGCTTTGCAAACATCTGAATAGCAATCTTCTCAGCGTGGCGAACTTGATGGCAAAAGAATTTTCCTCTCTGGCTGCAGATGCCAGGAGGCATTATCAGAAATTCAAGGTAGGACTGGTCCTGGGGTGCAGGAGGGGTGAGAGCTCCCGAGTCTCCCCATCACCTGCCCCACCTGCTTCCCATTTCCTTTTGGATTAAGACAGAGAAAGCCCTGGGGGGAAATGAGGTACAGGCAGGACGGGACAGAAGGAAGGAGAGAATTCTTAAACAGGGCGCAGACCCTGGTGGGTACCAGGAAGAGGGGTTTGTGGTGGGAAAGCGTCATTGACAGTGGGGGTGGCGGGGGCTCCAGCCCACAGGTGATGCACCTGCCAGCTGACACCAGGATGTGCAAGCCTGAGCGGGCTGCGGGTTAGAGGGCAGCGGTCCAGCTCTCTCCAGGGTGGGAAGACCCTGTGTGCTGCAGCTCAGGGGCATTTCCTTCTGCCCCCTGGGCGCCCGAACCGGGGGGCAGCCCCCCACCCACTCTGTCCCTCTTGCACACATCTGTGGGGGCACCCTGGGAGGCCGGGTGTCTGTTGCTAAAGTCCTACCAATACTGTATTTGAAAGACATTTTTAAAACGGACACGTAGGGCTTGATCGTGTTGGTCCTCTTAAACACAAATGTCAAAATACCTTTCCAGATCCCCTTTGGGGATGAACAGACGTCGTAGTCCCTCAGGGCTGCTGGAACAGACTGGGTGGCTTGGAAACAGAGTTTATCTCACAGTTCTAGAGGCTGGGAAGTCCAAGACTGTGGAGCCCACAGATTCTGTGTTGGGTGACAGCCATCTTCTCCCTGGGCCTCACACGACGGAGGGGACAAGGGTGCTCTGGGGCCTCTTTCATAAGGGACTGATCTTACTCATGAGGCTCTGGCTCTGTCCTCATGACCTAATCATTTCCCGAAGGCCTCCCTCCTGGCACCGTCACCCTGAGCTCTGGGGGGCAGGCATTCAGACCAGAGCAGCAGGGGATGCCCCTTCAGGAGCTCTTCCCTGACACCCAGGCTTTCCTTGTGCACGAGGGGAGGCAGCCAAGACCAGCAGGATCCTGGGGTATGCTGAGCACTGAGCTCAGTGTTGGCACTTTCCAGGCCTGCCCTCCACACCTCACTGTCTCCATGCAAGGTGTGGTATTACTTGTCAAGGTTAAGTAACTGCCAGGGCCGGGGCAGGACTCAGGCCTGTGGCCATGCTAAGCGTGGCCTCATCCGGGGCTGCCCAGGGCTCTGCCCGCCCATCGGGGTGAAATCCCCGGGTCTCCCACCAGGCTTCGCAGAGGCCTGGTTGCTGTCAGTCTTTATCTTCATTCATCTGGCAGGGTCTCTACCACATGGCCGTGTGGTCGCTGTTTCACCAAGAACCTAGAAGGAAGTTTCCAGGCCTTGCGGGCTGCCAGTGACTGATGGGAGGTGGGACAACTCTTGAGCAGCCCTTGGTGGCAAGTAGCTGAGGTCCACCTGGGCTGCCCAGGGCAGAAAAGGGGATCTGAAGGGGCGCACAGTGACTCCTGGGACCCTGGTGGAGGGGCACCCACTGCTTTGGCTCTGTGGCCGGGAGCTGGGTGGCTCCCTCTGCCCCACTGCCCACTGAGGCCACTTATCTCCTTTCTCTCTGGTTCTCGCTTCCTGTTGTCTTCTGCCTTCCTTGGCTACCACCCTGGTCCCACTTCCTGTGTCTTCAGTTCAAGCCACCTACAGAGGCAGCTCTGAGGCCAAATTTTCAGAAGAGTGATCTGCGTGGGCCAGGTGGTCTGGTGTCCCCAGGGCCGGGTCAGCCCTGGTGAGGGGTGTGCGGAGTGGGCTTGGCAAGGCCACGGGCCATGGCCATGGCCGGGAGGGCCCGGGTGGGGTGAGGGCAGTTCCTGGAGATGTGGGGTGTGACTTAGGCAAACTCCCAGCCTCAAGTTTGCTGATAATAACAATTTCATGGAAAAGAAGGAAAACCTCATTCATCAGGGTCAGCCCCCTCCACCCTCCAAATGGTGAACCAGCTCTACAACTGCTTAATCCAGAGCGCTTCCTGACCCCACGTTGCCCAGCTGGCACTCTCAGTGGGGGGGAGTGACGCCCCCGCCCCACTGCTCCCGCCACCTCGCAGGAGTCCAAGTGTACGGTTGTGGTTTGGGGGATCCCAGTTTCGGGGGTAGGAGTCTGGTTTTAGAAAGAAAGTGGTTATCTCACTTCTGCAGAAGATAAGCTTCTCAGGGTGGGGGAGGCAGGCTTATTTCTAGGATAAAGATGCTTTTATTAGGTTTATAAAATTCAGCAGAGAGGAGGGGGTTTAGGGAAATTCCTCCTGGGTTTCATTACACTAATTATCAGCGTATTTCAGACCACATCGCAGTGCTTTCAAGGGTATCTTGTTGGGGTTCTTTGGTTCGGAAGCACGGGTGGAGGGAAGATGAAAGGCTGGGACGTCAGGACTGATCAAGGAGTAAAAGGTCCTGAAGAGCGGAGACGGGTGCGCGGCCTTGCCGTGGAGGCGGCCGCCCGGGGCCGCCCGTTCCGTGCTGTCTTTAAAGCATCTGCTGATTCGGGGCTTTATAGCTCTTCTTGCAAGTAGCACTAACACCTTCAAATGCGTAATGTTCTCCCGTTAATCTCGGCTCCGTCCTCCAGAATTCTCTTACATAGCTGGTATTGACCTAGACGTCTCCATTTTAGGAATTTCCAGAAGGTTTCTGAAATCCTCCCTAGTCACCTCCTGTATGCCAAGCACCATCCAGTGCCGGGGAGACCCCGAGATGAGGTCCTTCTCCTTGCCCTGGGAGATTCCAGCCAGTGCGGGAGACCGAGGGTCCCCAGCCCAGGACGCAGGGCCAGGAAGCCCTCATGCCAGCGGTGGCTTGGTTGACTCATTCATTCACTCAGTAAGTGTTCTCTGAGCACCTCTAAGCCCCAGGCATGGCTCTGGGCTGGGAAGAGCGTACAGATTGCAAGATTAAGGGGCCCTGTGGAGCCATCACCATGGTCATGCTAAACAAAGCTTTCCTAAAGGGCTCATGCTGTGGAAGAACCCAGAATCTGGCAGCGGGCCACAAAACCCACGTGGGCAGGCATCACCTGAGGATGCTGGGGTTCAAGGCAACCAGGGATGGGAAACAGCTTTTCTGTTGGTTTGTTTCTAGCTTTATTATAAGATATTGTAAAGATGTTCAGAAGCAGTGAGAAAAGTAAAAGAACCATCGTGGACCCATCACCTGGCTTCAGCCAGAATCAACCCATGGCCGTCTAGCTGCGTGTATACACCCCATCTCCCCTGCTACTGGGTTATTTGAAAGCAAACCCACACAGCATTTCATTTCATCCATGGATGTTCTAGTCTCTAACTGCTGAGAAGCCGAGAGTACAATGGTCGGACCATATGTAAAAGTAGAGAAAAGGCCCACAGCCTGTGGTGACCAGCCCAGGAAGCCGGCGGGCTGTAAGTCAGACGTGGAAAAGTCGGACATCCACCTCTTATTTAGTCCAGGAGGCCTGACCCCTGTAACAATCAGTCCCAATGGCCAGGGTTTGATTAATATTAAACTGCCAGCTTCCGTAATCTTTGTCCCCACTTCCAACCTATTGCCAGAGAAGGCCAAATATGCTCCCCTAAGCAAGCCCATAGGACGCCCTGCTTCTGGCGGGCCGCCTCCGGCTCCCTCACGCCCGCAGCCTCCACCAGGCACACCCGCGGCCTCCTTTTCCTCTGCAGAGCTGTCCTGCTCCTCCACCTGCCTTTGAGTCTCTGCCAAATGCAGGTGATGGCGGCCGGCTCCCTCACTAGAACCACCTCTGACTCGGTAAGCTTTGCTTTCCTCATTTGGTTGGTCTTTGCTTCTTTCCACTCCCTAAAAGGTAAAGGAACTTTTTGATTAAACACATACACACACTGTCCTGCTTAGAAAACTTATCAATATTTCTCCAGTGTCCGGTCAGGATTAAACTGTACCTGGGGGGGCAGGCGGCTCGCGGTCCTCAGCTCCTCGGCCCCTCGGCCGGCCCCAGGGCACTCGGTGTGAGCACCTCCCTTCTCTCCCCACTCTGGCCCCGCGGATGTTTCTCGTCCAAGCCGACCAAGGCCACCTTTGCGCTCTGTTGCGTCTCTTTATTTAGTTGAATTCATCTGCTCTGTCAAGTCCATTCTCCTCATCTATTTTCTCTGGTCCAGTCTCTAAGCCTGCCACCTGAGTCACAATCACAAACACCACAAAAAGGCTCGGGTGAAGTGGGCCCTGGGGTCCGGGAGGGAGCAAGTGAGGCCAGCAGGAGCCCCCGGGTGCTGGATGCCAGGCGGTGCCCTTTCAGGTGCTGCTCCAGCACTTGCACAAACCTGAACACGAGCCCAGCCTTCGACTTGGGCCCAGGGCTCCTGGAAAGCCTCGGCCCAGTCCAGGCCCCTCTGGAGGTTCGGGAAATCAGGGGGGTCAAGACCAAGTCCTGTTGGTTTTTAATCACACAGGAGGTGATGAAGGTGAAGAGGCTCGCTGGGAGAAGGATCTTTTCCAGCAGGAGCTGGATGTGGTTGCTCTAGAGTTTTAGATTTCTACTACAAAAAAAAAAAAAAGGAAAGAAATGCTTTACTATTAAAATCCCTGCAGGAAGATTAAGTGTCTGCAAATTTACAGCTGCCTAGTTCAGAGACTCTCAGTCTTAACAGCACATTAGACTCACCTGGGCCCCACTGGACTCAGTCTGAATCCCTGGAAGTGGGGCCAGGCGTCTGGATTTAAACAGGCTCCCTACGGAATGCTCATAGGGTCATCTGGGAACCCACCCCAAATCCGACTCCCCGTTTCTCAGTGCAGTTATCCCTTTTACAGCACAATTACTGCTGAATCAAGGTTTCTTTGGAATGCAACTATTGCACTGGAGCCAAACAGCCTGTGTTTGTTGAATGAATAAATGACCCCTCCCCCACTTCGAAGGCTGGTCAGACCAGAAGGAGCCAAAGCTGGATTCTTCCTAACTTCAATTCCATTTAATTCCTAACTTCAATTCCATTTAAAAGTTAAGAAACTGATGTAACCCAGTGTACCTAAGTACCCAGTTGTCAGTCACCATTTTCCTTAAAATCCAAATAATAGAACTTGTGCCCTTATCCTGCCTCTGTCTGCACAGAGAACAGTGGTCCCCTCCACGTGTTTCTGAGGATTTCCGGGATTGCTGGTCAGTTCTTGCTTCCAAGTCCTCTGGATGGTGTCCATCACCTCTGGCCAAATCTCTAGCCTCCTGGCTCTCTGTCTTGGAGGCGGTGCTAAGACAGAGCCAGCAGGAGCCCTCTTGCCCTGTGTTCCTCGTCAGCGCCTCGAGGCAGTGCTGTGGAACAGGCCTTTGGGGAGGATTGGGGGCAGTGGAGGTGGTTACAGCCCAGGATGGAGACAGATGAACCCAAGGACCGTAGCTTCTTTTGAAGTTTGCTGGCCTTCCCACTATAGGGTCTCCCTTCCAGGCCACCTCCCCCTTCAGGCCTGTTGGGTGCTTCATGGTGGGGCCTGTGTTCTTCTTTCAAAGCCTTGTCTCCTGTCCCCCCCCCCCGTCTCATCTCCTGTCCTGTTCTAGACTCAGCTTGAGCCCTGCCTTTCAGAACTGGTAGAGTTCCTGCCATCTCCCTGCCTGACAGCCCCTAGAAGCAGCAGAAACTTGGAAATGATAGCTGTTCCTAAAGGATTCTCTGCTCAGTTCTTAAGTGAGCTCAAGTCAAGTATGGGGCTTCCTCCGCCAGCTAGCAGCCCCTTTAGGGGTCAGAGGTAGGAGCTGGGCCGACCAGGAATCTCAGCTCCTCCACTCCCTGCTCTGCTCCGGATGGAAGTTCATACCGTCAATCAAAAGTCTTGATCAAGCGTCACCCAAAGGTGACATGGGGACATCTGGACCCCTGAGGGTGGGGCCTGGTGATGGGACCACATGAGCTGTTACCCTGGGGAGGAAGCCCAGGCTTGCAGAAGGGCAGCCAGGTGCCTGGGAGGCAGGCAGAGCCAGGGCTTGGCCCTCCACACCTGGGGCTGCGTCTTCCGGGGGAGGGGCAGGTTGGCAGACCAGCTGTGCGGCCCCGGGCCTGGCGCCGGGAGCTGAAAGGGGAGGAGAGGCCCAGATTGGGGCCAACATAGCCGATTCTGCCCTTTACAGCAAGGGTGTTGCCTCACCACCAAGTAGGGAGACCAGGGGCCGGTGGTTGGCCCCTGGGCTGGGGCTTCTCCACGACCAGCAGGGGCTTTGCTGGGCTCCATCAGTTTGTCCCTGATTCTCCCCACAAATCCAGGCTTGGGGGCTGGGGTGGGAGAGCCTGGCAGAGCTCCTGAAGGAGGGAGCCTGATTCCTGCAAAGACAGTTTGGCAGAGCTCTGAGAAGCGGCCCCCGGGAAGCCCCCGCTGCTGACGTGACACATCAAAGCTGGCACCGAGACAGCGCAGAGGCAGGGAGCGGCGGGGGGCACCCGTGAGGGGCCGGGGCTCAAAGTCGCAGACCTGTCCCCCGCCGTGAGGGCCATGGGGAGCGCTGCGCCCCGCCCGGACCTGTCGCCTTTCAACCTGTGTTCTTTGACTGGCTTGCACCCCCCTCGTTCCCCACATCCCAGGACCTGTTTGAATGCTGCCTCCTGGAGGGGTGTTGTCACGGAAGAGAGGAATCTTGGGAAACCAGCCTCAGGATGGAAACTGGCTCTGCCCAGGGTTGGCAGGGGACGCTAGGGGACAGGAAAAGATAGAAGTGATGTGGGTGGGAGGGGTTAGCCTGGGGAAGTCGCCGGGATAGCAGGGGTGATATGGGCACCAGCAGACAGACACCCTCCCTCCCCAGCAACTTCTTCCACATGGGGTAAGGCTATTGGGTGCTTGAGTTTGCTCAAGACAGTGGTTCTCCAGCTGCGGTGCCTGGACCAGCGTTCTCAGCATCACCCAAAAACTTGCTAGAAATGCCAGTTCTCAGCCTCACTCCAGACATGCTGAGTCGGAAGCCCTGGGCGGGGCCAGTGATCTGTGCTTTAACAAGCTCTTCCGGGATGCACGTTCCAGCTGAGGACTGTTGGCCTGAGCAGGAAATTGGCAGAGGGCAGATGTAGGGACACAGAGGTGTCTAGGAGATACTGAGACCAGAGGCTGGGTGCTGGCTAGCCTCCCTCTTGTCTCTCTGACCTCCTCTTCTCCCTGTGTGTCATTCATCATTCATTCATTCTCCCTCTCTCTCGCTCACTCTTGACTTTCGCTGTCCCCTTTGTAGACACCTCAGTGATCCCATGCCTTTCACGGGGACACATTACAAGTTCCATTCCCACCCGAGGTGTCCCCTCACCCTCCCACTGTCTGCTCATCCCCCTGGGCCTACATGTTCCCGCCTCGGAGTCCCTGGCTTGGCAAAAGGCAGGCAAAATGTAGATTTCCCCTGCCCCTCACCCCTCAACTGAGTGCCTCTGAGTGCACCCAGCATCCACCTGCTTGGCTGTGGCCCTGGGGGGCCTCACCTGCACCTGGAGGCCAGCTCAGCCTTGACATAGCTTGAGATGTGTGGTCTGGGGCTCGCCTCGGCCCCCTTGGCCAGATGTTTGGGGAGTTTGGGGAGAAGCACCAGCTTTTAGTGACCTTGGGTCAAAGGGACACCTGGCAGTGGGCTTTCCAGGGACATTGGCTCTGGGACAGCAAGACAGAAAGAGCAGACCTGGTTGTGAAGATTGGGGTGTCAACTCTGGTCCAGGAGGACAGTTGAGAGAAACCGAAGGAAGGCCACTGTGGGTGTCACCCCCCTGCACACCCCCACCTGTGCTGCTTTGTCCTTCTGGAGCCTGGCCTGCCTGGGTTCAAGGCCTGCCTCTGCTCCTCCCTGGCTGTGTAACCCTGGGGAGGTGGCTTAACCTCTCTGAGGCCCAGCTTCCCCACCTGTAAAAAGGGGATGACAATAGGCCAGACCTCACAGAGCCGGAAGCATCGAATGCTGTGCCTTGGCACAGAAGCTGGCGCCCAGCACACGCTCGGCAGAAGCCGGCCATTGTTCTGCCTCTTGAATGAATTAAGGAACATGGAGTTTTGTTAAGTCATCAGTCAGCTGGGGCTTCCTCCGTCCCTGACTCTGTCTGGTGCTGGGTCAGAGGTGTGCTGGTCAGCATCTCACAACCAGTTCTCTGGGGGACAAAGCCCTCCTTTGTAGCGTTAGCACACCCTTATCTGAGGGCAAAGGTCGTGAGACTCAGCCCCTTTCCTCCAGGAACTTTGAAAGTCTCTGGGAAGACAGACAGGTGAGCAAGCCCCTGCAATGCCATGTAGTTACTGCGATTGCAGAGTTTGCTGTCGAAGATTATGGCAGCCTCTAGCCCAGCCTGGGAAGGGTCAGGGAGGGCTGCCTGGAGGCAGTGGCACTTGGGGCTGAGGCTCAGAGTCACTCAGGTGGTGGTGAGGGAGAGCTTCTGGGTGCGGACAGGATAAGGAAAAACATGGAGTCAGTGCGCATGGCTGGTGGGGAGGCTGCTGGAGAGGAGCCCAGGGCAGACCAAGGCTGGGGAGGCAGGTGAAGCGGTGGAGGCTGGACGAGGGTGGGGCCACAAGGTGGGCCTGGGCTTACTGAGGCCACAGGCCTTAGTCAGGGACCTGGAGAAGCTTGGTGCCAACAGGGCCGGGCCCTCAGTTCTTAGCTGAACCCGCTGGCCTGCCAGTTACATGTCCTGAGCTCAGCACAAAAGTTCAGGCCCTCACTCTGTGCGTCATCTTTCCTGTAGACGGTGCCCAGCATGCTGCTCATCAGACTGGTTCAGGAGCGCCTGTCAGAAGAGGACTGCGTCAGGCGGGTGAGAATCCATGTGTGGAGCGAGCTGGGGGCTCCCGGGAGATGGGGCTCCGCTACCAGATAAAAGAGGGTGAGGGGTGTGGTTTATTTCTGAGAGCAGAGGTGACCTGCGGAGAAGGGTAAGAACTGACACTCTGAAACTCGGTGAAGGTCAATCTGTAGATGTGGCTAGAGGAGAAATAACAAGGGGGAATCTGGGGAATCCATCCTGGTACCTGTAGGAAAGAGCTGACTTGCCCCAAGGGGTCACATGAGAGCCTTTAACGGAAGGACCGTGGCAGGAGTGTGCAGAGTCAAGGCCGTCAGTGAGTGCTGGGGAGGCGCCTCTGGACCTGGAAGCACAGAGGGAGAACTGGGGAGACCCCACACCCTCATTCCATCCTCTGATCTCTTGCCAGTGTCCTCTTCCACCAGACCCAGTGAAGCCGGGGGGCAGGGGTCCAGGTGAGGCTGACCATGGAGGTCAGCCTCCTGGGGCGTGGACAGGGGTTGTGCTACTGTGATTTGTAATAAGAAATATGTATTTGGTCTTCGTCCAATGCATCAATTTTTTGAACATTTTTTAGCATTCCACTTTAATTTACCTCTTGTGTTTTTTACTATGTCTCTTTTTCTAGTGGATGACCTAGTAATTACAATACACAGACTTAGATTCCTAGTCTATTTAGAGTCAGTATTTTACCGTTTCAAGCAGAATGTGCAACGTAAGTCCCTCTCCTTGCCTTTCTTTACGTTGTAATTGTCTTGTGTATTACAGCTATACGTGTTGAAAATCCACTGGGCAAATGTTGTAATTTTTGTTTTCAATCATCAAACATATTTTAAAAACTCAAGAGGAGAATAGTTTATTACATTTATCCAGGTATTTACCATTTCTGTTGTTCTTCCTTCATTCCTGATTTTCCAAGCATCCCTTTCTGTCTGAAAACCTTTTCACAATTCTTCTAGAGTAGATATGCTGGCAATGAATTCTCTAGATTTTCCTTCATCTGAAAGTGTCTTTATTTTGACTTCAATCCTGAAGGATATTTTTCCATGGATTCAGAATTCTAGATTGACAGGTTTTTCTTTCAGCACCTCACAAATGTTCATTTTTTAACACTATGGTTTCTGGTGAAAATCCATGGTCATTCAAAGTCTTACAGATAATGCGTCATTTTTCTCTTGCTACTTTCAATATTATTTTCTTCGTTCTTAATTTTCAGCAGTTTAACTAGGATATGTCTGGGCATGAATTCCTCTGGATTTATCCTTTGCTGGGTCAGCTGAGTTCCTTGAATTTATAAGTTTCTGTTTTTCTCCGAACTTGGGATGTCTTCATCCATTGTTTGTTCAAGTAATTTCCCCACACCATTCCCTCTCTCCTCCCCTTCTGAGACTCTGGTGGCATGAAGGTCAGACCTTTCAGTGTTTCCTCAGGGGTCCCTGAAGCCCTATTCTTTTTTTTTTAAATACCTTTTTTTCCCCTCTCTATTGATAGGATTTGATCATTTGTATTGAACTGGCTTCAGGCTAATTGCATATTTTCTCTCTCACCCCCGTTCTACTAATAAGCCTGCCCAGTGAGTTTTTAATTTTGATTATTGTATTTTTCAGTTTTAAAAATCCCATTTGGTCTCTCCTTGAATCGTCTATTTCTTTGCTGAGACTTTCTGTGCGTCCATCATTTACTGGGAGCTACGTGGCGGTGGTGGGGTTTTACTAACAGTTGCTTCTGTGTCTTGTCTGATCATCCCAGCACTTGCGTTATGTTGGTGCTGGTGTCTGATGTCCTGTCCCATGTGAGCTGAAATCTTCCTGATTCTCCCTGTGCTGAGTAATTTTGTATCCTGGACATTCAAAATATTGCTCTGAGACTCTGGGTCTTGTTCAAATCCTATAGGGAATGCTGAGACTTTTGTCTCAGCAGAAGCTGGTTCTGTTGGGCTCGGGCCTCAGGTTCTAACCACCTTCTCTGGGCTGTGGGTTCCACCCCACTTCTGTTTTCAAACCGTGGCAGTGCTGTGCGGTGCTCTGCAGCTCTGTGCTGTGCGGGGCCCCTGTGGGGCCAGGGCAGGGGCCTGTGCTGTACCTCGTTCCTCAGTGTTTTTGAAATACAGCCCCCCTCTCTACCTGCACCCCTGCCTCAGTTCACCCAGCGTCAGATCCCCTCTTTTAAAACTGACCCATCCATCGGTCACCCTCTTATCTGGGAAATGGTGTGACAATCATTTGTCAGGAATAAAGGGAAGGATAGAGTATCCTGGGTGATTGGAAACAGGGTGGCACTTTCTCATACAAAATGCTCTATGCCTGAATCCATAATTGATTTTGAGTTGCCAAGTCAAATTAAACTCTGGCGTGGCAGGTCACCAGGCTGGAAGCATTCAGGTCTGCCTTGCTTCTCTTTGCTCTTTAGAGCTGAGCCGTTTCTCCTCTTCACCAGCAGTGCATGTCGCATTGGCCAAACATGGAGGAGTGTCACTCCTTTGATGGGGGTGGACCCGGGTCACCCAGACTGGAACCCCTCAGTGAGATGGGGGCTGTATTTTTTAATTTTTTAAAATTTTATTTATTTATATATTTGTTGTATTTTTGAATGGACATATAGTTGATGTACACTATGATGTTACAGGTGTAGAATACAGTGATTCGCAATTTTTAAAGGTTATACTCTGTTTATAGTTATTATAAAATGTTGGCTATATTCCCTGTGCTGTACAGTATATCCTTGCAGCTTATTTTATGTGTAATAGTTTGCAACTCTTAGTCCCTTACTCCTCCATTGCCCCCCTCCTTCCCTCTCCCCATTGGGAACCATGAGTTTGTTCTTTATATCTGTGAGTTTGTTTCTTTTTGTTATATTCACTAGCTTGTTGTATTTTCTAGATTCCACATATAAATGATATCATACAGTATTTGTCTTTCTCTGTCTGATTTAGTTCCTTCAGCTTAATACCCTCTAAGTCCATCCATGTTGTTGCAAATGGCAAAATTTCATTCTTTTTTATGGCTGAGTAGTATTCCATTGTGTGTGTGTGTTTATGTATACCACATCTTCTTTATCCATTTCTCTGTTCATCTGCCGATGGGCACTTAGGTTGTTTCCATGTCTTGACTATTGTAAATAATCCTGCCATGAACATTGGGGTGCAGGTGTCTTTTCAAATTCGTGTTTTTGGGTTTTTTTTTGGATATATACCTAGGAGTGGAATTGCTGGGCCATAAGGTAGTTCTATTTTTAGTTTTTTGAGAAACCTCCATACTGTTTTGCACAGTGGCTGCACCAGTTTACATTCATGGAGGCTGTATTTAAAAAGCACAGCTGGGCACAGCCTTGCATGTCAGCGAGCTCAGCTGCTGCGAGCTCTTGGAAGCAGGGCATCAGCGTGATTAGCTGTGGCTGTAAACACATGGGCAGGGAGTGTGCCCGTCTTTGCTTCCTGTCCCAGGAATCGTACTTGCCCTGAGGAACGTGGGCTGCTAATAAGCCACGGTCACACCCTTGCCAAACAGAAGTCCCAGCGGAGACGGCTCCACGGTCTGTCTCAGCCCCAGCAAAGGCAGCAGGCCCTCCCACGCCCCGTCCAGATTTCCTTTCAAGATGCTCACAACCCCAAACCATCCTGTGATCCAGGAGCTTAAGTGGAAACTTGAGCCCTAGCTGGTCTGCTCACAGGCCCTCCCTCACCATCAACAGCTTGCTTTCACCGGCTGCTTAGGTGCAGCAGAGGCCCTGGGCCTGAGCCCCGCTGACCGCTGCGATACAAGAGCCCCTGGGGTGCAGTCAAGCAGGAGGCCAAGCCCAACTTCTCTGCACAACCCTCCACCAGCCCAGAGAACCGCCGCTCCCCGACCAGGCACCATGCCCAGCGCTTCACCCATCTTCACACCACCCGGCACAGTCGGTGTTAATCTTTTATTAATCCCGTTTTGCAGATGCAGGACCTGAGGGTGCCCAAAGCCACAGAGAGGGGTGGCAGGGCCGGCCAGCATGGACCTGGTGCCGTGCAGCCTGGCCGAGGAATCTGAGGTCAAGCACAGGCCATGTGGGCTCTGCGCGGTCCAGGTTTGAGGGCGCCTCCTGCACCATCATTACCAAAGGCATCGCCGGGACTGGGTGACCCACCCACCATGGTTTCCTGCAGGCACTTGTTTGTTCAGTCACTTATTCTCTCAGGCAACAAATGCTAAGGCAGTGAGCAAACCAGTTCAACACCCACTCTCACGGAGCCCAGATTCTCGCCATGGGGAGACAGACGACCACCAAATGAACAAGTGGAATGTGCGGTCAGGGCGTTGGCTAGAGATGGGCGCCTGGGAGAAGATGCTTCCAGAAGAGGGCCTGGCAGACCCTCCCAGAGGAGAGGTGTATCTAGGGGGAGGGCAGGGTGCCACTGCAGGGCCCTCCCCAACCCACGCCCCAGAGCTGTGCAGAGGGCCACAGGGGTGGGGAAGGATGGAGGAGGCAGCGAACCGGCTGGCATGGAAGCAGGCATCTGGACCACTGAGCGACCGCCAGGGACGCCGTCCTTCCCAGCGTTGAACTATTCAGAACAATCTTATTTTGTGAAAGTTATTTTTATAATTTACTGCATCCCAAGCTAAGTGTTTCTGGAGCGTAAGCATTCGAATGAGAGTTCAGAGGTGTGGAATTGTGAGGTTGGGTTACTGGGTGTGTCCCACCGGTGAGATGAACCCCCTGGAACTCATGCCAAGGGAGGTCCAGCCCCTGGGTCCAGACACAGGAGCCAGCTGGCCTGGGCTGGCTTGTTCACATGCGTATTTATTTATAATCTTCCTAAGTCACTGAGTCCTGGTTTCTGTGGTTACAACTGTACGTCCCAGATCTGCCCTCAGTGATCTGGAATGGTCTCTCCCACACGTTTAACACCTGTGAGCCTTTCTCGAGCTTACCGAAGAGCTCAGGCTGCACACCTGCAGTGTGGACAGTGTGTGAGACCAGGCATCCCCTGTCTGCCAGCGGCTGCCAGTGTCATCAAAATGGCAATGACATTTACT